TTGCGTAAATAGTTGAATGACACAGGCCAGTAACTTAACCCCGAAAAAATATCGGATGAGGACGTACTAAATATTTACCCACGATTCAGCCAAAAAATGGTATTTTGCTTATTGTAAATATGCAATTTATAGGATTTGCGAGCAATTTTAACCCTCACGTAGGACTAAGAAACTTCCGGACGTGTATTATGTGAACCTCCACCTCCGTCTTTTCATCCATGGCCCAACTGTGGACGAAGACATCGTCAAAGAAACTCGGGATAAAGTCTCGCACCGATCGTAACAGATTAATACATCTATTAAAAGTTGCAGAGGCGTTACTCATCATATGTGGTATTACTATCCACTCCCACAGCATATCACCGGGGGTGCTCACTGCTATTTACAAGATTTTGTTCATGCATGAAAATTTGATAGAATATATTCGTCAGATCCGTGGACGAAAAGATGGTACTTTTTGCCATACCATCTATGATGTGACGTACTTCCTTGGTATCTGCGTCCGAGCCGGTACCGTTACAGTGTTCATTTTGTTGAGCGCGTGCAATATCCGCCACCCTCCTGTGGCCTTTTACACACAGAAGGTCGGAGAGCTGTATGAAGATATTGATTCCCTCACATGACCAGCCGCTAATCGATCGGCAACAATTTTGTCCAATAGCTATGACCTGTTCACGAGGCAGTGGCCACTGCTTCATGACACAGTGTTTCGAACCAAGTTTCAGTTTGATCTCATGCCGATTGCCTTTATCCTTACGCAGCTCGCATGATACGGATTCATGGAAAAATCCCTGGATTTTGATAAATCCTTATACAAAGGATTTGTCTGCAAAGACTCCCAAGATTAAGACGTGGATCGCTCAGTCCGGGTCTTTTCACCAAGAACACTATCGTACATAGATGAGCTACTGAGAACCCGTTCCATTTAAGCAAACACTTGTGCCGACCGAAGAACGGCGACGTACTCGTCCTCTGCGACGAGTACGAAAATCTGCTTGAACTTGTCACTACCAGATCTCACAAGAATCTTTTAGATTCTAGCGTTGGCAACTTGACTACCTCCGAAGCTGACTTCGGAGGTGTAGCCAGATCAAGTGTATCTTAGCACCTAAACTTGACCCGTTGGTCAACCAGACATTAGTGTCTTGGTGCTTTCCTGGAGATCATATCTGCAGGTGATTGGGGATACACGCCCTCAACATACGTCTATCGAGGATTTATCAATTTCTGGAACACTCCTACAATACGTGTACTGACTGTGGGTGTAAAACCACAGCAACGTACTCTTCGATTGACTCTCTTTCAGTCGATCGGGCTTGGTATACGATTGACTCTCTATTAGTCGATCTCGCTTCAACGTGTTTTTCATCCTAAACAAAACTAATCTCTTCTTGGATGCACCCTTCTTGGTGTGCATCCTTGTTTTGTCCACTGGGATCTCTTCGGGTGGTGAACCTTCGGCGCAGCCTGTGTCTCTACACAGGTGCCGGAAGCTGGTTCCACAGTGTAGTGGCCTTCTACACTGTGATCTTCTACAATCTTACTAACGACCGTACCACAAGTGAGGCTATCGCACTCACTCGTAGTACATCCACACGCTTGCAGACGCTTCAAGACGTTCATCAGATGGCCATCCGGTGAACAAACGGCAGGCATCTTCACGGATCGATGCTGCCAGTTTACTCGTGGTTCGTACCTTCTGAGCCACGGAATTCCAAGGATGACATCAAATTTGTCATCCAAATCCAATACGATAAAGTCATCATCGTATTGTTTTCCTTCTAGCGTGTAGTGGATTCACATGTTTGTTCACGGTTACGGATGCGCCTGTAGCAAGGCACACCGTCATCTTCGTTAAAGGGAACCCTCGCTTAACGTAGTTGAGCCTACTATCCCCTAGCGACTGACCTCAAATAAACCCATTTGACGCCCCACGGTAAACTAGGGCGCGAAGTGACATTCGGCTTCTTACTTCGATCTTTGAAGTGATAAGAGACGCCTCATCACTAGGTGCAGTAACACACAGCGGCTGTGTGTTGGGAGCAATCTTCGTCAAGAGTCCTGCAAATTTACTTGACATTGCTGGATCAGACCCTACTCACCATGACCGTTTTTGGTAGTCCGACTCGCTGTCGCGGTTTAGCAACATGGTCGGACCCGCACCTTGGACCATCTCTCGGCAAATGGCGGTCATCACGTCCTGTCTTTGTACGTGTTGCCGTGCTCGATACGCTACACTCATGAGCGTAGTGTCCAATCTTCTGACAGAAATGGCATCTTGCCGTTCGCTTGTGACTCAGAGAGCGATAGTTCTCGCTCTCGATGTAACAGAGGTCCGTTGGTTCGGGATCCCCTGTTTTCTGTCGCCTCGTAGGACGATAGTTGGACGAGTTAGCCTGAGACTGTCTCAGGCTAAAGTCTTCTTGTTCTGCATACGCTATCGCCCTTTCCAGCGTATAAAAATTCTCTCGGAACATATTTGTCTTCACCGGCCCATCTACGAGGCCGTAGATGAACGCGTTTATGAGCGTGTTCTCATCAACAGGGTTTTACGTGACGCTACTTGCAAGGTAGCGCAGGTGCTGTGCGTAAGCATGGACATCCAGCTTACCTTGCTTTAGCCTTAAGAGTGCAGAGCATGCTCTGAACTCGGCTCTCGGCGGCTCAAACGTTTCTCTGAGCCGAGACTTTATATCTCAAACGACTCAAACACGTTTGGGTCGTGAAGTTTGAGCCCTAAGGCCCAAGTCTTTGCTCTTCCTGTCAGATTTGACAGGGCAAAGGTGACTTGCATCTCATCACCCTCGATGTGACGGGCCCTGATGGCGTCGTCTAACTCGACGAACCATCTCAAAAGGTAATTTACATCGGTTCCCTTGTACCTTGAGATATCAATCTTCAAGGTTTCGGGTCGACGCATGTGCGTCGGTCCGCCCATCGACTGATGAGAGCCTTGCTGTTGTAGCAAGACTATCTTCTGTCTATCGACGGCAAGTTGCCCTTGTAGGAACTTGTTGATAGCAGCATGTTGCTGGTCTCTGCTTAGAGAATTTAACATACCGCAAATGGCGGGTTTGCCCATGAGAACACTCATGCGGCCGACTACCTCCCATTCTGAGTTACTCAGGTGAGAGTAGCCTTAACTTGTGACGTGAAAGCTGTCGTCTTCTGCGTCCAATATGTTCATATTGAACGGACACTAAGCAGTCGTTGGACAAACTACAAAGTGCTACCAGGTGTAACAGGGAACCCTTTGTTCGGGGGTGCCGCGAAACTTCACGTACACTAGTACGTGTAGAGGAAGCTTAATCTACTTAAACGACTCGTTTGAGTAAAGGTAAAGAGGGAACTGTATTTAATACATTTATGCTATCAACATAACTTTCATCTTTTTTTAACGATATTTAACTACGTCGTCGTATTACGAAAATCTGCTCACCACTCATTCCGCGCGTCCAGCAGCAATTGGTGGTAATATATGGTTGGTATGTCTTATATCAACCAATCTTGGAGCAGCGCATGAATATTATCCAAAAGGGTATAATATTCCTTCAAAAGTATCCAGCTCGGATAATATTGGTAGAATAATGCCATGCTAGATAATATTCCTGTTGACATTGATTGGTGTCAATATCATGAAATGGGCTAAACCGTTACAAGCTTGGTCCCACACGCTAACGACTATCGTTAAAATATCTTTAGATCATCGATGATATTTACTTATGTGTATACACTTTACTGTTCTACATGTTGCGTTACTTGTGCCCGTATTTGTATTTTTTACGTTCTTCTCCCTCCTTGCCATGCGCATTACAAACATAAAATCTTTGATCGTTTTTGCGGGCGTGGTCAAACATTATTCCACCAAATTTTGAGTGCCCTTCATCTACATCGGTATTCCACTTCAAATGCTTGCTTTTGAGCTGGGAATGCGAATCTAAAATTAGTTGCATTTTATCGAAGCATAAAAAATGTCAGCTTTGTTTGTCTTAGAATGTCTTCTTTTACTCTTTTTTATAGCCCCGCGGATCCGATTTTCTTTAGCTTTTCGAACATCCATCGGAAAACCCGGCGATACGTCGCTGTTATGCGACCAAATATTTTGCACTTCCTATAAATAGAGTGTGATACATGCATAGTGAGTGCTAATCGCGCTATCTAGGTGTAATGTTAACAAAACTGCATCTCCTTTTGCTCTGCATTCGGTAAACTATGATCAAAATTTTCTGGTAAACCTCTAGTAGCTTGTACTCAGTCTACACCTGTTGTCCTCGAGCTTCTGTTTCATAGGCGATCGCACCGATGCCACCTTCTTGCCGACCCGCTATCTTGGCATTTTATCATGGCGCAATTTACGTTACTTATTTTTTCTCTTCGCGTTTTACCCGTTAAAGTTCCGTTGGCTTATAGCTCGGACATTTTTTCTCTCTGGGACAATTTCTATTAGATGCCCAGCCACGTTGCAATGAAGAATCTACTCAGATGCCCAGCACCATTTAAATAGAAAACCTTCTTGATTTCTGCATGCTTTCACTCTGCTGCGATCTCTCGCAAATCCTTGCTGGCTTGCTACCAGCATTCTTAGTTGCGCCACCCTAATACGCGGTCACAGCATCTGCACGCTAGGCACAATCAAGAATCAAAACCATGTCGCGGAGTTTATCCGGGGTATCTGCGTGATCCAAAGACATTTCGACTTGACTTTTAAGCTTTTGAAAGCGGTTTGTCTGTGACAAACAGTTAATTTAAAACCGGTTCATCTGAAAGTCATCGACTGTAGCACCAAGGGTCTCAAAGCGCTCCCACTTGTCGAACTTGTTATCCGAATTTCCGTCAATGTCTGAGCCAGACCGGCACCTTGCACGCTAAAGCTTTTCTTATGTGATACTCGCATTGATGAACTTTGTCTTGCCATTCTGCTTTCCATCAAAGTAACTTACAATGTGTGTCCACATTTCCGTTTTAGTACCCCTACTATAAACACCTGGAGCCGAGTCAGCCTACATGGAACTTAATGTTCGTCGCTTCAGGTTTATCTGCAGCTGATCGTAGTCATTTCTCGCGTTATCGGTCTGCAGCGTTAAGCGCTTGACTCCATCTCTTGCAATCGCGTCCAGCTCTTCATCATCGAAAGCTGCAATCATGATATTCTTATAAAGATCCCAGTCTTCCCCGTTTCAGTTCTTAGGAAGCCCTGTCTGCTCAATCACTTTAACTCTCGGTCGGATGCTGCCTACTAGACCTCTCATATTTGAGCTTACAACCCTATTATGAATGCATAAGAGTTACTCACCGAAACCGCTCGGTACTTTTCTGTAATCTCTTTTCTTTTCCCTGTTTCCATGTCAACAGACCTAGCAGGCACCAAGACTTGCTGGAATCTACAGTTGACACGCTCGATCTGCATACAACTACGCACACCGTAACAAAATGCACTACATATAATTCATTCATACCCTCCCTAGATGGCTCAATTGCCCGTACATCTTCTGAGGCGGACTGGGTCAACGGTGATTTAGCTATCCAAACCTAACGGATTCCAGCAGTGTTGTCGCTCTAGTAAGGAGGAGACATGGCCATGGACCTATTCTGAATTTGATTCTTTTATTATTGTGTGATAAATAGCAAATGAAATCCTTACAGTGTATGTGTAACGGGTTTGTTCGTTACGTGACATTGACACCAAACGGTTTAAATAGAGAGATTGTATGACGTGGCAATACCCTGCCAATATCATCCGAAATGGATAATTCTGAAGGAATATCACCCATTCAGGTAATATTCACGTGCCGCTCGAATATTAATGAAATACTTATTAATCATCACTACCGCCAATCGCTGCTATACGCGCATTATGGGTGTGGACAGGTAGTCGTCATACGACAATGTAGATTAAAATGGTCTCATATAGATTGAGTTTTATATCGATTGATCAACAACATTAAATACAGATTTGTTTTCACCGGCTTCAAACGAGTTATGTAAGTAAATTTGTATTCCTCTGCACGTACTAGTGTACTTGAAGTCTTGTGGCACCAAAAAAGGGTGCCCCGTAGCACAAGTATCTAGTAAAGGCGTAGTGTGGTGTAAAAAGTAATATTTTCGTCAAGTTTTCTACTATCGTTTAACTAATGGTGACAAACTGGTGTGTGATTCTTTGAATCTTAATTTTCTTTGGAATAGGGTTCATTTAGATTGTACGCTTGTACGACAGTACTTCGTTGTAAGACTGTTATAAGTAAGAGAATTTACAAGTGTAAGACTTCCTCTGTTTAGAAGCGCTAAATATCTCCGCTACATTATCAAAGGAAGTTGTAGACTATAAAAGTCTTTTAGTTTTAGCAAACTAACAACGACGTACAGTCGTTCAAGCGCACAGGCTCATCAGTCTCAACTCCGAAGGGATTACGTTTTTACAAAATACTCACTAAATAGTCTTTTTACAGTAGAACTTGTCTCAAAAGTTACTGTTAAGAATAAAGATAGCCACTACGTTATGTCTATATCCGCCTCAAGTTTGGGCCCATACAAAAATCAACAAACCTTTGAAATTATAAAACGCATTGCAATTCGGGTTCCATTACTTGAAGAAAGACAAATTTTATCTAAAAATAACGATGGTACTGTAAAATGATGTTAAGTATATTCTTAAAAACGTTTAAAGAAGTCTTGTATGTCAGGCTGAACCATTTAAATGTTTACGGATCGCCCCCGACTTTGTCCTTCATTTGCTCTTTTGACTTTATAAAAGTCTGCTTTGCATCACCATCCTGTTGCAATTAGAATGACTTAAGCAACTCAGTTTCCCACCCCTCAGGCATCTAAAGGGCTACTGTCATCCTGCTCATTCTCAGGCCGAGTTAGAAGGTGGTCTTTAATGATGTCATCTAGATACGGAATGTACAATGTAATTTGCTCATCAGGATAATGGGTAAGGTTGTAATTTTATATCAGCTTGAAAGTGAAGCGTTTAAAAATAATGGTCTATTTCTTTCACTAACTCCATTGTCAAGGCACTGCCCCATCGAGGACTCGTGGAGCATCAGCTGGTTTGGACCGAATGTTGATGTGCCGGAAAACAGGTTTAAACAGTCTTAGTGCGGGAGACGGGTGGCCCATGTGGAGATTGACATCATATAGCATGAAGGATCATGATCTTTGCCAGCTAAACCACACCATTGTCGTAATCTTAAAGGATATTACAGTTAAAGCTAACTGTCACTCACAACATCCCGACGAGTCGAATCCGTTTCGCGGCAAAATGACGACGTGTTTGCAGTCGACAAGGAATAGCAGCTCTACATACCGCAGCTATCGCCTGTCAGTCGTCAACGACGTCTAAAGACTCCATCAAGTGGTATAACAGCTGCTACGGTGTACATAAGCTCTCTGTAGTCAGCAATCAAGACAGCAGTAAAAGAGAATGCGCCGTCCGGGAATCGAACCCGGGGCATCTCGTTGGCAACGAGATATTTTACCACTAAACCAACGGCGCCTGCTCACGTCATTCTACCCCCTCTGTCAAAAATCAACACAAACAAACAACAGCCTCCTCACGGCATACATCGTACCGGCAACTGTCACTCACAACATCCCGACGAGTCGAATCCGTTTCGCGGCAAAATGAAGACGTGTTTGCAGTCGACAAGGAATAGCAGCTTAACATACCGCAGCTATCGCCTGTCAGTCGTCAACGACGTCTAAAGACTCCATCAAGTGGTGTAACAGCTGCTACGGTGTACATGAAGCTCTCAATAGTCAGCAATCAAGACAGCAGTAAAAGAGAATGCGCCGTCCGGGAATCGAACCCGGGGCATCTCGTTGGCAACGAGATATTTTACCACTAAACCAACGGCGCCTGCTCACTTCATTCTACCCCCTCTGTCAAAAATCAACACAAACAAACAGCAGCCTCCTCACGGCATGCATCGTACCGGCAACTGTCACTTACAACATCCCGACGAGTCGAATCCGTTTCGCGGCAAAATGAAGACGTGTTTGCAGTCGACAAGGAATAGCAGCTTTACATACCGCAGCTATCGCCTGTCAGTCGTCAACGACGTCTAAAGACTCCATCAAGTGGTGTAACAGCTGCTACGGTGTACATGAAGCTTTCAATAGTCAGCAATCAAGACAGCAGTAAAAGAGAATGCGCCGTCCGGGAATCGAACCCGGGGCATCTCGTTGGCAACGAGATATTTTACCACTAAACCAACGGCGCCTGCTCACGTCATTCTACCCCCTCTGTCAAAAATCAACACAAACAAACAACAGCCTCCTCACGGCATACATCGTACCGGCAACTGTCACTCACAACATCCCGACGAGTCGAATCCGTTTCGCGGCAAAATGAAGACGTGTTTGCAGTCGACAAGGAATAGCAGCTTTACATACCGCAGCTATCGCCTGTCAGTCGTCAACGACGTCTAAAGACTCCATAAAGTGGTATAACAGCTGCTACGGTGTACATGAAGCTCTCAATAGTCAGCAATCAAGACAGCAGTAAAAGGGAATGCGCCGTCCGGGAATCGAACCCGGGGCATCTCGTTGGCAACGAGATATTTTACCACTAAACCAACGGCGCCTGCTCACGTCATTCTACCCCCTCTGTCAAAAATCAACACAAACAAACAACAGCCTCCTCACGGCACACACCGCACCGGCAACTGTCACTCACAACATCCCGACGAGTCGAATCCGTTTCGCGGCAAAATGAAGACGTGTTTGCAGTCGACAAGGAATAGCAGCTTTACATACCGCAGCTATCGCCTGTCAGTCGTCAACGACGTCTAAAGACTCCATCAAGTGGTATAACAGCTGCTGCGGTGTACATGAAGCTCTCTGTAGTCAGCAATCAAGACAGCAGTAAAAGAGAATGCGCCGTCCGGGAATCGAACCCGGGGCATCTCGTTGGCAACGAGATATTTTACCACTAAACCAACGGCGCCTGCTCACGTCATTCTACCCCCTCTGTCAAAAATCAACACAAACAAACAACAGCCTCCTCACGGCACACACCGCACCGGCAACTGTCACTCACAACATCCCGACGAGTCGAATCCGTTTCGCGGCAAAATGAAGACGTGTTTGCAGTCGACAAGGAATAGCAGCTCTACATACCGCAGCTATCGCCTGTCAGTCGTCAACGACGTCTAAAGACTCCATCAAGTGGTGTAACAGCTGCTACGGTGTACATGAAGCTCTCAATAGTCAGCAATCAAGACAGCAGTAAAAGGGAATGCGCCGTCCGGGAATCGAACCCGGGGCATCTCGTTGGCAACGAGATATTTTACCACTAAACCAACGGCGCCTGCTCACGTCATTCTACCCCCTCTGTCAAATATCAACACAAACAAACAACAGCCTCCTCACGGCACACACCGCACCGGCAACTGTCACTCACAACATCCCGACGAGTCGAATCCGTTTCGCGGCAAAATGAAGACGTGTTTGCAGTCGACAAGGAATAGCAGCTCTACATACCGCAGCTATCGCCTGTCAGTCGTCAACGACGTCTAAAGACTCCATCAAGTGGTATAACAGCTGCTGCGGTGTACATGAAGCTCTCAATAGTCAGCAATCAAGACAGCAGTAAAAGAGAATGCGCCGTCCGGGAATCGAACCCGGGGCATCTCGTTGGCAACGAGATATTTTACCACTAAACCAACGGCGCCTGCTCACGTCATTCTACCCCCTCTGTCAAAAATCAACACAAACAAACAACAGCCTCCTCACGGCACACACCGCACCGGCAACTGTCACTCACAACATCCCGACGAGTCGAATCCGTTTCGCGGCAAAATGAAGACGTGTTTGCAGTCGACAAGGAATAGCAGCTTTACATACCGCAGCTATCGCCTGTCAGTCGTCAACGACGTCTAAAGACTCCATCAAGTGGTGTAACAGCTGCTACGGTGTACATGAAGCTCTCAATAGTCAGCAATCAAGACAGCAGTAAAAGAGAATGCGCCGTCCGGGAATCGAACCCGGGGCATCTCGTTGGCAACGAGATATTTTACCACTAAACCAACGGCGCCTGCTCACGTCATTCTACCCCCTCTGTCAAAAATCAACACAAACAAACAACAGCCTCCTCACGGCACACATCGTACCGGCAACTGTCACTCACAACATCCCGACGAGTCGAATCCGTTTCGCGGCAAAATGAAGACGTGTTTGCAGTCGACAAGGAATAGCAGCTCTACATACCGCAGCTATCGCCTGTCAGTCGTCAACGACGTCTAAAGACTCCATCAAGTGGTGTAACAGCTGCTACGGTGTACATGAAGCTCTCAATAGTCAGCAATCAAGACAGCAGTAAAAGAGAATGCGCCGTCCGGGAATCGAACCCGGGGCATCTCGTTGGCAACGAGATATTTTACCACTAAACCAACGGCGCCTGCTCCACCAATCTACCCCCTACGTCAAAAATCAACACAAACAAACAACAGCCTCCTCACGGCACACACCGCACCGGCAACTGTCACTCACAACATCCCGACGAGTCGAATCCGTTTCGCGGCAAAATGAAGACGTGTTTGCAGTCGACAAGGAATAGCAGCTTTACATACCGCAGCTATCGCCTGTCAGTCGTCAACGACGTCTAAAGACTCCATCAAGTGGTATAACAGCTGCTACGGTGTACATGAAGCTTTCAATAGTCAGCAATCAAGACAGCAGTAAAAGAGAATGCGCCGTCCGGGAATCGAACACGGGGCATCTCGTTGGCAACGAGATATTTTACCACTAAACCAACGGCGCCTGCTCACGTCATTCTACCCCCTCTGTCAAAAATCAACACAAACAAACAACAGCCTCCTCACGGCACACACCGCACCGGCAACTGTCACTCACAACATCCCGACGAGTCGAATCCGTTTCGCGGCAAAATGAAGACGTGTTTGCAGTCGACAAGGAATAGCAGCTCTACATACCGCAGCTATCGCCTGTCAGTCGTCAACGACGTCTAAAGACTCCATCAAGTGGTGTAACAGCTGCTGCGGTGTACATGAAGCTTTCAATAGTCAGCAATCAAGACAGCAGTAAAAGAGAATGCGCCGTCCGGGAATCGAACACGGGGCATCTCGTTGGCAACGAGATATTTTACCACTAAACCAACGGCGCCTGCTCACGTCATTCTACCCCCTATGTCAAAAATCAACACAAACAAACAACAGCCTCCTCACGGCACACACCGCACCGGCAACTGTCACTCACAACATCCCGACGAGTCGAATCCGTTTCGCGGCAAAATGAAGACGTGTTTGCAGTCGACAAGGAATAGCAGCTCTACATACCGCAGCTATCGCCTGTCAGTCGTCAACGACGTCTAAAGACTCCATCAAGTGGTATAACAGCTGCTGCGGTGTACATGAAGCTCTCAATAGTCAGCAATCAAGACAGCAGTAAAAGAGAATGCGCCGTCCGGGAATCGAACCCGGGGCATCTCGTTGGCAACGAGATATTTTACCACTAAACCAACGGCGCCTGCTCACGTCATTCTACCCCCTCTGTCAAAAATCAACACAAACAAACAACAGCCTCCTCACGGCACACACCGCACCGGCAACTGTCACTCACAACATCCCGACGAGTCGAATCCGTTTCGCGGCAAAATGAAGACGTGTTTGCAGTCGACAAGGAATAGCAGCTTAACATACCGCAGCTATCGCCTGTCAGTCGTGAACGACGTCTAAAGACTCCATCAAGTGGTATAACAGATGCTGCGGTGTACATGAAGCTCTCAATAGTCAGCAATCAAGACAGCAGTAAAGGGAATGCGCCGTCCGGGAATCGAACCCGGGGCATCTCGTTGGGAACGAGATATTTTACCACTAAACCAACGGCGCCTGCTCACGTCATTCTACCCCCTCTGTCAAAAATCAACACAAACAAACAACAGCCTCCTCACGGCACACACCGCACCGGCAACTGTCACTCACAACATCCCGACGAGTCGAATCCGTTTCGCGGCAAAATGAAGACGTGTTTGCAGTCGACAAGGAATAGCAGCTCTACATACCGCAGCTATCGCCTGTCAGTCGTCAACGACGTCTAAAGACTCCATCAAGTGGTATAACAGCTGCTGCGGTGTACATGAAGCTCTCAATAGTCAGCAATCAAGACAGCAGTAAAAGAGAATGCGCCGTCCGGGAATCGAACCCGGGGCATCTCGTTGGCAACGAGATATTTTACCACTAAACCAACGGCGCCTGCTCACGTCATTCTACCCCCTATGTCAAAAATCAACACAAACAAACAACAGCCTCCTCACGGCACACACCGCACCGGCAACTGTCACTCACAACATCCCGACGAGTCGAATCCGTTTCGCGGCAAAATGAAGACGTGTTTGCAGTCGACAAGGAATAGCAGCTTAACATACCGCAGCTATCGCCTGTCAGTCGTCAACGACGTCTAAAGACTCCATCAAGTGGTATAACAGCTGCTGCGGTGTACATGAAGCTCTCAATAGTCAGCAATCAAGACAGCAGTAAAAGAGAATGCGCCGTCCGGGAATCGAACCCGGGGCATCTCGTTGGCAACGAGATATTTTACCACTAAACCAACGGCGCCTGCTCACGTCATTCTACCCCCTCTGTCAAAAATCAACACAAACAAACAACAGCCTCCTCACGGCACACACCGCACCGGCAACTGTCACTCACAACATCCCGACGAGTCGAATCCGTTTCGCGGCAAAATGAAGACGTGTTTGCAGTCGACAAGGAATAGCAGCTTTACATACCGCAGCTATCGCCTGTCAGTCGTCAACGACGTCTAAAGACTCCATCAAGTGGTATAACAGCTGCTACGGTGTACACAAAGCTCTCTGTAGTCAGCAATCAAGACAGCAGTAAAAGAGAATGCGCCGTCCGGGAATCGAACCCGGGGCATCTCGTTGGCAACGAGATATTTTACCACTAAACCAACGGCGCCTGCTCACGTCATTCTACCCCCTCTGTCAAAAATCAACACAAACAAACAACAGCCTCCTCACGGCACACACCGCACCGGCAACTGTCACTCACAACATCCCGACGAGTCGAATCCGTTTCGCGGCAAAATGAAGACGTGTTTGCAGTCGACAAGGAATAGCAGCTTTACATACCGCAGCTATCGCCTGTCAGTCGTCAACGACGTCTAAAGACTCCATCAAGTGGTATAACAGCTGCTACGGTGTACATGAAGCTCTCAATAGTCAGCAATCAAGACAGCAGTAAAAGAGAATGCGCCGTCCGGGAATCGAACCCGGGGCATCTCGTTGGCAACGAGATATTTTACCACTAAACCAACGGCGCCTGCTCACGTCATTCTACCCCCTCTGTCAAAAATCAACACAAACAAACAACAGCCTCCTCACGGCACACACCGTACCGGCAACTGTCACTCACAACATCCCGACGAGTCGAATCCGTTTCGCGGCAAAATGACGGCGTGTTTGCAGTCGACAAGGAATAGCAGCTTTACATACCGCAGCTATCGCCTGTCAGTCGTCAACGACGTCTAAAGACTCCATCAAGTGGTATAACAGCTGCTGCGGTGTACATGAAGCTCTCAATAGTCAGCAATCAAGACAGCAGTAAAAGAGAATGCGCCGTCCGGGAATCGAACCCGGGGCATCTCGTTGGCAACGAGATATTTTACCACTAAACCAACGGCGCCTGCTCACGTCATTCTACCCCCTCTGTCAAAAATCAACACAAACAAACAACAGCCTCCTCACGGCACACACCGCACCGGCAACTGTCACTCACAACATCCCGACGAGTCGAATCCGTTTCGCGGCAAAATGAAGACGTGTTTGCAGTCGACAAGGAATAGCAGCTCTACATACCGCAGCTATCGCCTGTCAGTCGTCAACGACGTCTAAAGACTCCATCAAGTGGTATAACAGCTGCTACGGTGTACATGAAGCTCTCAATAGTCAGCAATCAAGACAGCAGTAAAAGAGAATGCGCCGTCCGGGAATCGAACCCGGGGCATCTCGTTGGCAACGAGATATTTTACCACGAAACCAACAGCGCCTGCTCACATCATTCTGCCCCCTCTGTCAAACAAATAAACCAACACAATCAAACAACAGCCTCCTCACGGCATGCATCGTACCGGCAACTGTCACTCACAACATCCCGACGAGTCGAATCCGTTTCGCGGCAAAATGAAGACGTGTTTGCAGTCGACAAGGAATAGCAGCTTTACATACCGCAGCTATCGCCTGTCAGTCGTCAACGACGTCTAAAGACTCCATCAAGTGGTATAACAGCTGCTACGGTGTACATGAAGCTCTCAATAGTCAGCAATCAAGACAGCAGTAAAAGAGAATGCGCCGTCCGGGAATCGAACCCGGGGCATCTCGTTGGCAACGAGATATTTTACCACTAAACCAACGGCGCCTGCTCACGTCATTCTACCCCCTCTGTCAAAAATCAACACAAACAAACAACAGCCTCCTCACGGCATACATCGTACCGGCAACTGTCACTCACAACATCCCGACGAGTCGAATCCGTTTCGCGGCAAAATGAAGACGTGTTTGCAGTCGACAAGGAATAGCAGCTTTACATACCGCAGCTATCGCCTGTCAGTCGTCAACGACGTCTAAAGACTCCATCAAGTGGTGTAACAGCTGCTACGGTGTACATGAAGCTCTCAATAGTCAGCAATCAAGACAGCAGTAAAAGAGAATGCGCCGTCCGGGAATCGAACCCGGGGCATCTCGTTGGCAACGAGATATTTTACCACTAAACCAACGGCGCCTGCTCACGTCATTCTACCCCCTCTGTCAAAAATCAACACAAACAAACAACAGCCTCCCTCACGGCACACACCGTACCGGCAACTGTCACTCACAACATCCCGACGAGTCGAATCCGTTTCGCGGCAAAATGAAGACGTGTTTGCAGTCGACAAGGAATAGCAGCTCTACATACCGCAGCTATCGCCTGTCAGTCGTCAACGACGTCTAAAGACTCCATCAAGTGGTATAACAGCTGCTACGGTGTACACAAAGCTCTCTGTAGTCAGCAATCAAGACAGCAGTAAAAGAGAATGCGCCGTCCGGGAATCGAACCCGGGGCATCTCGTTGGCAACGAGATATTTTACCACTAAACCAACGGCGCCTGCTCACGTCATTCTACCCCCTCTGTCAAAAATCAACACAAACAAACAACAGCCTCCTCACGGCATACATCGTACCGGCAACTGTCACTCACAACATCCCGACGAGTCGAATCCGTTTCGCGGCAAAATGAAGACGTGTTTGCAGTCGACAAGGAATAGCAGCTTTACATACCGCAGCTATCGCCTGTCAGTCGTCAACGACGTCTAAAGACTCCATCAAGTGGTATAACAGCTGCTACGGTGTACATGAAGCTCTCAATAGTCAGCAATCAAGACAGCAGTAAAAGAGAATGCGCCGTCCGGGAATCGAACCCGGGGCATCTCGTTGGCAACGAGATATTTTACCACTAAACCAACGGCGCCTGCTCACGTCATTCTACCCCTCTGTCAAAAATCAACACAAACAAACAACAGCCTCCTCACGGCATACATCGTACCGGCAACTGTCACTCACAACATCCCGACGAGTCGAATCCGTTTCGCGGCAAAATGAAGACGTGTTTGCAGTCGACAAGGAATAGCAGCTTTACATACCGCAGCTATCGCCTGTCAGTCGTCAACGACGTCTAAAGACTCCATCAAGTGGTATAACAGCTGCTGCGGTGTACATGAAGCTCTCAATAGTCAGCAATCAAGACAGCAGTAAAAGGGAATGCGCCGTCCGGGAATCGAACCCGGGGCATCTCGTTGGCAACGAGATATTTTACCACTAAACCAACGGCGCCTGCTCACGTCATTCTACCCCCTCTGTCAAAAATCAACACAAACAAACAACAGCCTCCTCACGGCATACATCGTACCGGCAACTGTCACTCACAACATCCCGACGAGTCGAATCCGTTTCGCGGCAAAATGAAGACGTGTTTGCAGTCGACAAGGAATAGCAGCTTTACATACCGCAGCTATCGCCTGTCAGTCGTCAACGACGTCTAAAGACTCCATCAAGTGGTGTAACAGCTGCTACGGTGTACATGAAGCTCTCAATAGTCAGCAATCAAGACAGCAGTAAAAGGGAATGCGCCGTCCGGGAATCGAACCCGGGGCATCTCGTTGGCAACGATATTTTACCACTAAACCAACGGCGCCTGCTCACTACATTCTACCCCCTCTGTCAAAAATCAACACAAACAAACATCAGCCTCCTCACGGCATGCATCGTACCGGCAACTGTCACTTACAACATCCCGACGAGTCGAATCCGTTTCGCGGCAAAATGAAGACGTGTTTGCAGTCGACAAGGAATAGCAGCTTTACATACCGCAGCTATCGCCTGTCAGTCGTCAACGACGTCTAAAGACTCCATCAAGTGGTGTAACAGCTGCTGCGGTGTACATGAAGCTCTCAATAGTCAGCAATCAAGACAGCAGTAAAAGGGAATGCGCCGTCCGGGAATCGAACCCGGGGCATCTCGTTGGCAACGAGATATTTTACCACTAAACCAACGGCGCCTGCTCACGTCATTCTACCCCCTCTGTTAAATATCAACACAAACAAACAGCAGCCTCCTCACGGCACACACCGCACCGGCAACTGTCACTCACAACATCCCGACGAGTCGAATCCGTTTCGCGGCAAAATGACGGCGTGTTTGCAGTCGACAAGGAATAGCAGCTTAACATACCGCAGCTATCGCCTGTCAGTCGTCAACGACGTCTAAAGACTCCATCAGAGTGGTGTAACAGATGCTGCGGTGTACATGAAGCTCTTTGTAGTCAGCAATCAAGACGAAAGCAGTAATGGGAATGCGCCGTCCGGGAATCAGACCAGGGCATCTTGTTGGCAACGAGATATTTTACCACTAAACCAACGGCGCCTGCTCACGTCATTCTACCCCCTCTGTCAAAAGTCAACACAAACAAACAACAGCCTCCTCACGGCATACATCGTACCGGCAACTGTCACTCACAACATCCCGACGAGTCGAATCCGTTTCGCGGCAAAATGAAGACGTGTTTGCAGTCGACAAGGAATAGCAGCTTTACATACCGCAGCTATCGCCTGTCAGTCGTCAACGACGTCTAAAGACTCCATCAAGTGGTATAACAGCTGCTACGGTGTACACAAAGCTCTCTGTAGTCAGCAATCAAGACAGCAGTAAAAGGGAATGCGCCGTCCGGGAATCGAACCCGGGGCATCTCGTTGGGAACGAGATATTTTACCACTAAACCAACGGCGCCTGCTCCGTCATTCTACCCCCTCTGTCAAAAATCAACACAAACAAACAACAGCCTCCTCACGGCATACATCGTACCGGCAACTGTCACTCACAACATCCCGACGAGTCGAATCCGTTTTGCGGCAAAATGACGGCGTGTTTGCAGTCGACAAGGAATATCAGCTTTACATAGCGCAGCTATCGCCTGTCAGTCGTCAACGACGTCTAAAGACTCCATCAAGTGGTATAACAGCTGCTACGGTGTACACAAAGCTCTCTGTAGTCAGCAATCAAGACAGCAGTAAAAGGGAATGCGCCGTCCGGGAATCGAACCCGGGGCATCTCGTTGGGAACGAGATATTTTACCACTAAACCAACGGCGCCTGCTCACGTCATTCTACCCCCTCTGTCAAAAATCAACACAAACAAACAACAGCCTCCTCACGGCATACATCGTACCGGCAACTGTCACTCACAACATCCCGACGAGTCGAATCCGTTTTGTGGCAAAATGACGGCGTGTTTGCAGTCGACAAGGAATAGCAGCTTTACATACCGCAGCTATCGCCTGTCAGTCGTCAACGACGTCTAAAGACTCCATCAAGTGGTATAACAGCTGCTACGGTGTACACAAAGCTCTCTGTAGTCAGCAATCAAGACAGCAGTAAAAGGGAATGCGCCGTCCGGGAATCGAACCCGGGGCATCTCGTTGGGAACGAGATATTTTACCACTAAACCAACGGCGCCTGCTCACGTCATTCTACCCCCTCTGTCAAAAGTCAACACAAACAAACAACAGCCTCCTCACGGCATACATCGTACCGGCAACTGTCACTCACAACATCCCGACGAGTCGAATCCGTTTTGCGGCAAAATGACGGCGTGTTTGCAGTCGACAAGGAATAGCAGCTTTACATACCGCAGCTATCGCCTGTCAGTCGTCAACGACGTCTAAAGACTCCATCAAGTGGTATAACAGCTGCTACGGTGTACATGAAGCTCTCTGTAGTCAGCAATCAAGACAGCAGTAAAAGGGAATGCGCCGTCCGGGAATCGAACCCGGGGCATCTCGTTGGGAACGAGATATTTTACCACTAAACCAACGGCGCCTGCTCACGTCATTCTACCCCCTCTGTCAAAAGTCAACACAAACAAACAACAGCCTCCTCACGGCATACATCGTACCGGCAACTGTCACTCACAACATCCCGACGAGTCGAATCCGTTTTGCGGCAAAATGAAGACGTGTTTGCAGTCGACAAGGAATAGCAGCTTTACATACCGCAGCTATCGCCTGTCAGTCGTCAACGACGTCTAAAGACTCCATCAAGTGGTATAACAGCTGCTACGGTGTACACAAAGCTCTCTGTAGTCAGCAATCAAGACAGCAGTAAAAGGGAATGCGCCGTCCGGGAATCGAACCCGGGGCATCTCGTTGGCAACGAGATATTTTACCACTAAACCAACGGCGCCTGCTCACGTCATTCTACCCCCTCTGTCAAAAATCAACACAAACAAACAACAGCCTCCTCACGGCATGCATCGTGCCGGCAACTGTCACTCACAACATCCCGACGAGTCGAATCCGTTTTGCGGCAAAATGACGGCGTGTTTGCAGTCGACAAGGAATAGCAGCTTTACATACCGCAGCTATCGCCTGTCAGTCGTCAACGACGTCTAAAGACTCCATCAAGTGGTATAACAGCTGCTACGGTGTACACAAAGCTCTCTGTAGTCAGCAATCAAGACAGCAGTAAAAGGGAATGCGCCGTCCGGGAATCGAACCCGGGGCATCTCGTTGGGAACGAGATATTTTACCACTAAACCAACGGCGCCTGCTCACGTCATTCTACCCCCTCTGTCAAAAATCAACACAAACAAACAACAGCCTCCTCACGGCATACATCGTACCGGCAACTGTCACTCACAACATCCCGACGAGTCGAATCCGTTTTGCGGCAAAATGAAGACGTGTTTGCAGTCGACAAGGAATAGCAGCTTTACATACCGCAGCTATCGCCTGTCAGTCGTCAACGACGTCTAAAGACTCCATCAAGTGGTATAACAGCTGCTACGGTGTACACAAAGCTCTCTGTAGTCAGCAATCAAGACAGCAGTAAAAGGGAATGCGCCGTCCGGGAATCGAACCCGGGGCATCTCGTTGGCAACGAGATATTTTACCACTAAACCAACGGCGCCTGCTCACGTCATTCTGCCCCCTCTGTCAAAAATCAACACAAACAAACAACAGCCTCCTCACGGCATACACCGCACCGGCAACTGTCACTCACAACATCCCGACGAGTCGAATCCGTTTTGTGGCAAAATGAAGACGTGTTTGCAGTCGACAAGGAATAGCAGCTTTACATACCGCAGCTATCGCCTGTCAGTCGTCAACGACGTCAAAGACTCCATCAAGTGGTATAACAGCTGCTACGGTGTACATGAAGCTCTCTGTAGTCAGCAATCAAGACAGCAGTAAAAGAGAATGCGCCGTCCGGGAATCGAACCCGGGGCATCTCGTTGGGAACGAGATATTTTACCACTAAACCAACGGCGCCTGCTCACGTCATTCTACCCCCTCTGTCAAAAATCAACACAAACAAACAACAGCCTCCTCACGGCACACACCGTACCGGCAACTGTCACTCACAACATCCCGACGAGTCGAATCCGTTTTGTGGCAAAATGAAGACGTGTTTGCAGTCGACAAGGAATAGCAGCTTTACATACCGCAGCTATCGCCTGTCAGTCGTCAACGACGTCTAAAGACTCCATCAAGTGGTATAACAGCTGCTACGGTGTACATGAAGCTTCTCTGTAGTCAGCAATCAAGACAGCAGTAAAAGAGAATGCGCCGTCCGGGAATCGAACCCGGGGCATCTCGTTGGCAACGAGATATTTTACCACTAAACCAACGGCGCCTGCTCACGTCATTCTACCCCCTCTGTCAAAAATCAACACAAACAAACAACAGCCTCCTCACGGCACACACCGTACCGGCAACTGTCACTCACAACATCCCGACGAGTCGAATCCGTTTTGTGGCAAAATGAAGACGTGTTTGCAGTCGACAAGGAATATCAGCTTTACATACCGCAGCTATCGCCTGTCAGTCGTCAACGACGTCTAAAGACTCCATCAAGTGGTATAACTGCTGCTACGGTGTACATGAAGCTCTCTATAGTCAGCAATCAAGACAGCAGTAAAAGAGAATGCGCCGTCCGGGAATCGAACCCGGGGCATCTCGTTGGCAACGAGATATTTTACCACTAAACCAACGGCGCCTGCTCACGTCATTCTACCCCCTCTGTCAAAAATCAACACAAACAAACAACAGCCTCCTCACGGCACACACCGTACCGGCAACTGTCACTCACAACATCCCGACGAGTCGAATCCGTTTTGTGGCAAAATGAAGACGTGTTTGCAGTCGACAAGGAATATCAGCTTTACATACCGCAACTATCGCCTGTCAGTCGTCAACGACGTCTAAAGACTCCATCAAGTGGTGTAACTGCTGCTGCGGTGTACATGAAGCTCTCAATGGTCAGCAATCAAGACAGCAGTAAAAGAGAATGCGCCGTCCGGGAATCGAACCCGGGGCATCTCGTTGGCAACGAGATATTTTACCACTAAACCAACGGCGCCTGCTCACGTCATTCTACCCCCTCTGTAAAAAATCAACACAAACAAACAACAGCCTCCTCACGGCACACACCGTACCGGCAACTGTCACTCACAACATCCCGACGAGTCGAATCCGTTTTGCGGCAAAATGAAGACGTGTTTGCAGTCGACAAGGAATAGCAGCTTTACATACCGCAGCTATCGCCTGTCAGTCGTCAACGACGTCTAAAGACTCCATCAAGTGGTATAACAGCTGCTACGGTGTACATGAAGCTCTCTGTAGTCAGCAATCAAGACAGCAGTAAAAGAGAATGCGCCGTCCGGGAATCGAACCCGGGGCATCTCGTTGGCAACGAGATATTTTACCACTAAACCAACGGCGCCTGCTCACGTCATTCTACCCCCTCTGTCAAAAATCAACACAAACAAACAACAGCCTCCTCACGGCACACACCGTACCGGCAACTGTCACTCACAACATCCCGACGAGTCGAATCCGTTTTGCGGCAAAATGAAGACGTGTTTGCAGTCGACAAGGAATATCAGCTTTACATACCGCAGCTATCGCCTGTCAGTCGTCAACGACGTCTAAAGACTCCATCAAGTGGTATAACAGCTGCTACGGTGTACACAAAGCTTCTCTGTAGTCAGCAATCAAGACAGCAGTAAAAGAGAATGCGCCGTCCGGGAATCGAACCCGGGGCATCTCGTTGGCAACGAGATATTTTACCACTAAACCAACGGCGCCTGCTCACGTCATTCTACCCCCTCTGTCAAAAATCAACACAAACAAACAACAGCCTCCTCACGGCACACACCGTACCGGCAACTGTCACTCACAACATCCCGACGAGTCGAATCCGTTTTGTGGCAAAATGAAGACGTGTTTGCAGTCGACAAGGAATATCAGCTTTACATACCGCAACTATCGCCTGTCAGTCGTCAACGACGTCTAAAGACTCCATCAAGTGGTGTAACTGCTGCTGCGGTGTACATGAAGCTTCCAATAGTCAGCAATCAAGACAGCAGTAAAAGAGAATGCGCCGTCCGGGAATCGAACCCGGGGCATCTCGTTGGCAACGAGATATTTTACCACTAAACCAACGGCGCCTGCTCACGTCATTCTACCCCCTCTGTCAAAAATCAACACAAACAAACAACAGCCTCCTCACGGCACACACCGTACCGGCAACTGTCACTCACAACATCCCGACGAGTCGAATCCGTTTCGCGGCAAAATGAAGACGTGTTTGCAGTCGACAAGGAATATCAGCTTTACATACCGCAGCTATCGCCTGTCAGTCGTCAACGACGTCTAAAGACTCCATCAAGTGGTATAACAGCTGCTACGGTGTACATGAAGCTCTCTATAGTCAGCAATCAAGACAGCAGTAAAAGAGAATGCGCCGTCCGGGAATCGAACCCGGGGCATCTCGTTGGCAACGAGATATTTTACCACTAAACCAACGGCGCCTGCTCACGTCATTCTACCCCCTCTGTCAAAAATCAACACAAACAAACAACAGCCTCCTCACGGCACACACCGTACCGGCAACTGTCACTCACAACATCCCGACGAGTCGAATCCGTTTTGTGGCAAAATGAAGACGTGTTTGCAGTCGACAAGGAATATCAGCTTTACATACCGCAGCTATCGCCTGTCAGTCGTCAACGACGTCTAAAGACTCCATCAAGTGGTATAACAGCTGCTACGGTGTACATGAAAGCTTCTCAATAGTCAGCAATCAAGACAGCAGTAAAAGAGAATGCGCCGTCCGGGAATCGAACCCGGGGCATCTCGTTGGCAACGAGATATTTTACCACTAAACCAACGGCGCCTGCTCACGTCATTCTACCCCCTATGTCAAAATCAACACAAACAAACAACAGCCTCCTCACGGCACACACCGCACCGGCAACTGTCACTCACAACATCCCGACGAGTCGAATCCGTTTTGTGGCAAAATGAAGACGTGTTTGCAGTCGACAAGGAATATCAGCTTTACATACCGCAACTATCGCCTGTCAGTCGTCAACGACGTCTAAAGACTCCATCAAGTGGTGTAACTGCTGCTGCGGTGTACATGAAGCTTCCAATAGTCAGCAATCAAGACAGCAGTAAAAGAGAATGCGCCGTCCGGGAATCGAACCCGGGGCATCTCGTTGGGAACGAGATATTTTACCACTAAACCAACGGCGCCTGCTCACGTCATTCTACCCCCTATGTCAAAAATCAACACAAACAAACAACAGCCTCCTCACGGCATACACCGTACCGGCAACTGTCACTCACAACATCCCGACGAGTCGAATCCGTTTTGTGGCAAAATGAAGACGTGTTTGCAGTCGACAAGGAATATCAGCTTTACATACCGCAACTATCGCCTGTCAGTCGTCAACGACGTCTAAAGACTCCATCAAGTGGTGTAACAGCTGCTACGGTGTACATGAAGCTTCTCAATAGTCAGCAATCAAGACAGCAGTAAAAGAGAATGCGCCGTCCGGGAATCGAACCCGGGGCATCTCGTTGGCAACGAGATATTTTACCACTAAACCAACGGCGCCTGCTCACGTCATTCTACCCCCTCTGTCAAAAATCAACACAAACAAACAACAGCCTCCTCACGGCACACACCGTACCGGCAACTGTCACTCACAACATCCCGACGAGTCGAATCCGTTTTGTGGCAAAATGAAGACGTGTTTGCAGTCGACAAGGAATATCAGCTTTACATACCGCAACTATCGCCTGTCAGTCGTCAACGACGTCTAAAGACTCCATCAAGTGGTGTAACTGCTGCTGCGGTGTACATGAAGCTTCTCAATAGTCAGCAATCAAGACAGCAGTAAAAGAGAATGCGCCGTCCGGGAATCGAACCCGGGGCATCTCGTTGGCAACGAGATATTTTACCACTAAACCAACGGCGCCTGCTCACGTCATTCTACCCCCTCTGTCAAAAATCAACACAAACAAACAACAGCCTCCTCACGGCACACACCGTACCGGCAACTGTCACTCACAACATCCCGACGAGTCGAATCCGTTTTGTGGCAAAATGAAGACGTGTTTGCAGTCGACAAGGAATATCAGCTTTACATACCGCAACTATCGCCTGTCAGTCGTCAACGACGTCTAAAGACTCCATCAAGTGGTGTAACTGCTGCTGCGGTGTACATGAAGCTTCCAATAGTCAGCAATCAAGACAGCAGTAAAAGAGAATGCGCCGTCCGGGAATCGAACCCGGGGCATCTCGTTGGCAACGAGATATTTTACCACTAAACCAACGGCGCCTGCTCACGTCATTCTACCCCCTCTGTCAAAAATCAACACAAACAAACAACAGCCTCCTCACGGCACACACCGCACCGGCAACTGTCACTCACAACATCCCGACGAGTCGAATCCGTTTCGCGGCAAAATGAAGACGTGTTTGCAGTCGACAAGGAATAGCAGCTCTACATACCGCAGCTATCGCCTGTCAGTCGTCAACGACGTCTAAAGACTCCATCAAGTGGTATAACAGCTGCTACGGTGTACACAAAGTTCTCTGTAGTCAGCAATCAAGACAGCAGTAAAAGAGAATGCGCCGTCCGGGAATCGAACCCGGGGCATCTCGTTGGCAACGAGATATTTTACCACTAAACCAACGGCGCCTGCTCACGTCATTCTACCCCCTCTGTCAAAAATCAACACAAACAAACAACAGCCTCCTCACGGCACACACCGTACCGGCAACTGTCACTCACAACATCCCGACGAGTCGAATCCGTTTTGTGGCAAAATGAAGACGTGTTTGCAGTCGACAAGGAATATCAGCTTTACATACCGCAACTATCGCCTGTCAGTCGTCAACGACGTCTAAAGACTCCATCAAGTGGTGTAACTGCTGCTGCGGTGTACATGAAGCTTCCAATAGTCAGCAATCAAGACAGCAGTAAAAGAGAATGCGCCGTCCGGGAATCGAACCCGGGGCATCTCGTTGGGAACGAGATATTTTACCACTAAACCAACGGCGCCTGCTCACGTCATTCTACCCCCTATGTCAAAAATCAACACAAACAAACAACAGCCTCCTCACGGCACACACCGCACCGGCAACTGTCACTCACAACATCCCGACGAGTCGAATCCGTTTTGTGGCAAAATGAAGACGTGTTTGCAGTCGACAAGGAATAGCAGCTTTACATACCGCAACTATCGCCTGTCAGTCGTCAACGACGTCTAAAGACTCCATCAAGTGGTGTAACTGCTGCTGCGGTGTACATGAAGCTTCCAATAGTCAGCAATCAAGACAGCAGTAAAAGAGAATGCGCCGTCCGGGAATCGAACCCGGGGCATCTCGTTGGCAACGAGATATTTTACCACTAAACCAACGGCGCCTGCTCACGTCATTCTACCCCCTATGTCAAAAATCAACACAAACAAACAACAGCCTCCTCACGGCACACACCGTACCGGCAACTGTCACTCACAACATCCCGACGAGTCGAATCCGTTTCGCGGCAAAATGAAGACGTGTTTGCAGTCGACAAGGAATATCAGCTTTACATACCGCAGCTATCGCCTGTCAGTCGTCAACGACGTCTAAAGACTCCATCAAGTGGTATAACAGCTGCTACGGTGTACACAAAGTTCTCTGTAGTCAGCAATCAAGACAGCAGTAAAAGAGAATGCGCCGTCCGGGAATCGAACCCGGGGCATCTCGTTGGCAACGAGATATTTTACCACTAAACCAACGGCGCCTGCTCACGTCATTCTACCCCCTCTGTCAAAAATCAACACAAACAAACAACAGCCTCCTCACGGCACACACCGTACCGGCAACTGTCACTCACAACATCCCGACGAGTCGAATCCGTTTTGTGGCAAAATGAAGACGTGTTTGCAGTCGACAAGGAATATCAGCTTTACATACCGCAACTATCGCCTGTCAGTCGTCAACGACGTCTAAAGACTCCATCAAGTGGTGTAACTGCTGCTGCGGTGTACATGAAGCTTCTCAATAGTCAGCAATCAAGACAGCAGTAAAAGAGAATGCGCCGTCCGGGAATCGAACCCGGGGCATCTCGTTGGGAACGAGATATTTTACCACTAAACCAACGGCGCCTGCTCACGTCATTCTACCCCCTCTGTCAAAAATCAACACAAACAAACAACAGCCTCCTCACGGCACACACCGCACCGGCAACTGTCACTCACAACATCCCGACGAGTCGAATCCGTTTCGCGGCAAAATGAAGACGTGTTTGCAGTCGACAAGGAATAGCAGCTTTACATACCGCAGCTATCGCCTGTCAGTCGTCAACGACGTCTAAAGACTCCATCAAGTGGTATAACAGCTGCTGCGGTGTACATGAAGCTTCTCTGTAGTCAGCAATCAAGACAGCAGTAAAAGAGAATGCGCCGTCCGGGAATCGAACCCGGGGCATCTCGTTGGCAACGAGATATTTTACCACTAAACCAACGGCGCCTGCTCACGTCATTCTACCCCCTCTGTCAAAAATCAACACAAACAAACAACAGCCTCCTCACGGCACACACCGTACCGGCAACTGTCACTCACAACATCCCGACGAGTCGAATCCGTTTTGTGGCAAAATGAAGACGTGTTTGCAGTCGACAAGGAATATCAGCTTTACATACCGCAACTATCGCCTGTCAGTCGTCAACGACGTCTAAAGACTCCATCAAGTGGTGTAACTGCTGCTGCGGTGTACATGAAGCTTCCAATAGTCAGCAATCAAGACAGCAGTAAAAGAGAATGCGCCGTCCGGGAATCGAACCCGGGGCATCTCGTTGGCAACGAGATATTTTACCACTAAACCAACGGCGCCTGCTCACGTCATTCTACCCCCTATGTCAAAATCAACACAAACAAACAACAGCCTCCTCACGGCACACACCGCACCGGCAACTGTCACTCACAACATCCCGACGAGTCGAATCCGTTTTGTGGCAAAATGAAGACGTGTTTGCAGTCGACAAGGAATATCAGCTTTACATACCGCAGCTATCGCCTGTCAGTCGTCAACGACGTCTAAAGACTCCATCAAGTGGTATAACAGCTGCTACGGTGTACACAAAGTTCTCTGTAGTCAGCAATCAAGACAGCAGTAAAAGAGAATGCGCCGTCCGGGAATCGAACCCGGGGCATCTCGTTGGCAACGAGATATTTTACCACTAAACCAACGGCGCCTGCTCACGTCATTCTACCCCCTCTGTCAAAAATCAACACAAACAAACAACAGCCTCCTCACGGCACACACCGTACCGGCAACTGTCACTCACAACATCCCGACGAGTCGAATCCGTTTTGTGGCAAAATGAAGACGTGTTTGCAGTCGACAAGGAATATCAGCTTTACATACCGCAACTATCGCCTGTCAGTCGTCAACGACGTCTAAAGACTCCATCAAGTGGTGTAACTGCTGCTGCGGTGTACATGAAGCTTCCAATAGTCAGCAATCAAGACAGCAGTAAAAGAGAATGCGCCGTCCGGGAATCGAACCCGGGGCATCTCGTTGGCAACGAGATATTTTACCACTAAACCAACGGCGCCTGCTCACGTCATTCTACCCCCTCTGTCAAAAATCAACACAAACAAACAACAGCCTCCTCACGGCACACACCGTACCGGCAACTGTCACTCACAACATCCCGACGAGTCGAATCCGTTTCGCGGCAAAATGAAGACGTGTTTGCAGTCGACAAGGAATATCAGCTTTACATACCGCAGCTATCGCCTGTCAGTCGTCAACGACGTCTAAAGACTCCATCAAGTGGTATAACAGCTGCTACGGTGTACATAAAGCTTCTCTGTAGTCAGCAATCAAGACAGCAGTAAAAGAGAATGCGCCGTCCGGGAATCGAACCCGGGGCATCTCGTTGGCAACGAGATATTTTACCACTAAACCAACGGCGCCTGCTCACGTCATTCTGCCCCCTCTGTCAAAAATCAACACAAACAAACAACAGCCTCCTCACGGCACACACCGTACCGGCAACTGTCACTCACAACATCCCGACGAGTCGAATCCGTTTTGTGGCAAAATGACGGCGTGTTTGCAGTCGACAAGGAATATCAGCTTTACATACCGCAACTATCGCCTGTCAGTCGTCAACGACGTCTAAAGACTCCATCAAGTGGTATAACAGATGCTGCGGTGTACATGAAGCTTCCAATGGTCAGCAATCAAGACAGCAGTAAAAGAGAATGCGCCGTCCGGGAATCGAACACGGGGCATCTCGTTGGCAACGAGATATTTTACCACTAAACCAACGGCGCCTGCTCACGTCATTCTACCCCCTCTGTCAAAAATCAACACAAACAAACAACAGCCTCCTCACGGCACACACCGCACCGGCAACTGTCACTCACAACATCCCGACGAGTCGAATCCGTTTTGTGGCAAAATGAAGACGTGTTTGCAGTCGACAAGGAATATCAGCTTTACATACCGCAACTATCGCCTGTCAGTCGTCAACGACGTCTAAAGACTCCATCAAGTGGTATAACAGCTGCTGCGGTGTACATGAAGCTCTCAGTAGTCAGCAATCAAGACAGCAGTAAAAGAGAATGCGCCGTCCGGGAATCGAACCCGGGGCATCTCGTTGGCAACGAGATATTTTACCACTAAACCAACGGCGCCTGCTCACGTCATTCTACCCCCTCTGTCAAAAATCAACACAAACAAACAACAGCCTCCTCACGGCACACACCGTACCGGCAACTGTCACTCACAACATCCCGACGAGTCGAATCCGTTTTGTGGCAAAATGAAGACGTGTTTGCAGTCGACAAGGAATATCAGCTTTACATACCGCAGCTATCGCCTGTCAGTCGTCAACGACGTCTAAAGACTCCATCAAGTGGTATAACAGCTGCTGCGGTGTACATGAAGCTCTCAATAGTCAGCAATCAAGACAGCAGTAAAAGAGAATGCGCCGTCCGGGAATCGAACCCGGGGCATCTCGTTGGCAACGAGATATTTTACCACTAAACCAACGGCGCCTGCTCACGTCATTCTACCCCCTCTGTCAAAATCAACACAAACAAACAACAGCCTCCTCACGGCACACACCGTACCGGCAACTGTCACTCACAACATCCCGACGAGTCGAATCCGTTTTGTGGCAAAATGAAGACGTGTTTGCAGTCGACAAGGAATATCAGCTTTACATACCGCAACTATCGCCTGTCAGTCGTCAACGACGTCTAAAGACTCCATCAAGTGGTGTAACTGCTGCTGCGGTGTACATGAAGCTTCCAATAGTCAGCAATCAAGACAGCAGTAAAAGAGAATGCGCCGTCCGGGAATCGAACCCGGGGCATCTCGTTGGCAACGAGATATTTTACCACTAAACCAACGGCGCCTGCTCACGTCATTCTACCCCCTATGTCAAAAATCAACACAAACAAACAACAGCCTCCTCACGGCATACACCGTACCGGCAACTGTCACTCACAACATCCCGACGAGTCGAATCCGTTTCGCGGCAAAATGAAGACGTGTTTGCAGTCGACAAGGAATAGCAGCTCTACATACCGCAGCTATCGCCTGTCAGTCGTCAACGACGTCTAAAGACTCCATCAAGTGGTATAACAGCTGCTACGGTGTACACAAAGTTCTCTGTAGTCAGCAATCAAGACAGCAGTAAAAGAGAATGCGCCGTCCGGGAATCGAACCCGGGGCATCTCGTTGGCAACGAGATATTTTACCACTAAACCAACGGCGCCTGCTCACGTCATTCTACCCCCTCTGTCAAAAATCAACACAAACAAACAACAGCCTCCTCACGGCACACACCGTACCGGCAACTGTCACTCACAACATCCCGACGAGTCGAATCCGTTTTGTGGCAAAATGAAGACGTGTTTGCAGTCGACAAGGAATATCAGCTTTACATACCGCAACTATCGCCTGTCAGTCGTCAACGACGTCTAAAGACTCCATCAAGTGGTATAACAGCTGCTGCGGTGTACATGAAGCTCTCAATAGTCAGCAATCAAGACAGCAGTAAAAGAGAATGCGCCGTCCGGGAATCGAACCCGGGGCATCTCGTTGGCAACGAGATATTTTACCACTAAACCAACGGCGCCTGCTCACGTCATTCTACCCCCTCTGTCAAAAATCAACACAAACAAACAACAGCCTCCTCACGGCACACACCGTACCGGCAACTGTCACTCACAACATCCCGACGAGTCGAATCCGTTTCGCGGCAAAATGAAGACGTGTTTGCAGTCGACAAGGAATAGCAGCTCTACATACCGCAGCTATCGCCTGTCAGTCGTCAACGACGTCTAAAGACTCCATCAAGTGGTATAACAGCTGCTACGGTGTACACAAAGTTCTCTGTAGTCAGCAATCAAGACAGCAGTAAAAGAGAATGCGCCGTCCGGGAATCGAACCCGGGGCATCTCGTTGGCAACGAGATATTTTACCACTAAACCAACGGCGCCTGCTCACGTCATTCTACCCCCTCTGTCAAAAATCAACACAAACAAACAACAGCCTCCTCACGGCACACACCGTACCGGCAACTGTCACTCACAACATCCCGACGAGTCGAATCCGTTTTGTGGCAAAATGAAGACGTGTTTGCAGTCGACAAGGAATATCAGCTTTACATACCGCAACTATCGCCTGTCAGTCGTCAACGACGTCTAAAGACTCCATCAAGTGGTATAACAGCTGCTGCGGTGTACATGAAGCTCTCAATAGTCAGCAATCAAGACAGCAGTAAAAGAGAATGCGCCGTCCGGGAATCGAACCCGGGGCATCTCGTTGGCAACGAGATATTTTACCACTAAACCAACGGCGCCTGCTCACGTCATTCTACCCCCTCTGTCAAAAATCAACACAAACAAACAACAGCCTCCTCACGGCACACACCGTACCGGCAACTGTCACTCACAACATCCCGACGAGTCGAATCCGTTTTGCGGCAAAATGAAGACGTGATTGCAGTCGACAAGGAATATCAGCTTTACATACCGCAGCTATCGCCTGTCAGTCGTCAACGACGTCTAAAGACTCCATCAAGTGGTATAACAGCTGCTGCGGTGTACATGAAGCTTTCAATAGTCAGCAATCAAGACAGCAGTAAAAGAGAATGCGCCGTCCGGGAATCGAACCCGGGGCATCTCGTTGGCAACGAGATATTTTACCACTAAACCAACGGCGCCTGCTCACGTCATTCTACCCCCTCTGTCAAAAATCAACACAAACAAACAACAGCCTCCTCACGGCACACACCGTACCGGCAACTGTCACTCACAACATCCCGACGAGTCGAATCCGTTTCGCGGCAAAATGAAGACGTGTTTGCAGTCGACAAGGAATAGCAGCTTTACATAGCGCAGCTATCGCCTGTCAGTCGTCAACGACGTCTAAAGACTCCATCAAGTGGTATAACAGATGCTGCGGTGTACATGAAGCTCTCTGTAGTCAGCAATCAAGACAGCAGTAAAAGAGAATGCGCCGTCCGGGAATCGAACCCGGGGCATCTCGTTGGCAACGAGATATTTTACCACTAAACAAACGGCGCCTGCTCACGTCATTCTGCCCCCTCTGTCAAAAATCAACACAAACAAACAACAGCCTCCTCACGGCACACATCGTACCGGCAACTGTCACTCACAACATCCCGACGAGTCGAATCCGTTTTGCGGCAAAATGAAGACGTGATTGCAGTCGACAAGGAATATCAGCTTTACATACCGCAGCTATCGCCTGTCAGTCGTCAACGACGTCTAAAGACTCCATCAAGTGGTATAACAGCTGCTGCGGTGTACATGAAGCTCTCAATAGTCAGCAATCAAGACAGCAGTAAAAGGGAATGCGCCGTCCGGGAATCGAACCCGGGGCATCTCGTTGGCAACGAGATATTTTACCACTAAACCAACGGCGCCTGCTCACGTCATTCTACCCCCTCTGTCAAAAATCAACACAAACAAACAACAGCCTCCTCACGGCACACATCGTACCGGCAACTGTCACTCACAACATCCCGACGAGTCGAATCCGTTTTGCGGCAAAATGAAGACGTGTTTGCAGTCGACAAGGAATAGCAGCTTTACATACCGCAGCTATCGCCTGTCAGTCGTCAACGACGTCTAAAGGCTCCATCAAGTGGTATAAAAGCTGCTGCGGTGTACATGAAGCTCTCAATAGTCAGCAATCAAGACAGCAGTAAAAGAGAATGCGCCGTCCGGGAATCGAACCCGGGGCATCTCGTTGGCAACGAGATATTTTACCACTAAACCAACGGCGCCTGCTCACGTCATTCTACCCCCTCTGTCAAAAATCAACACAAACAAACAACAGCCTCCTCACGGCACACATCGTACCGGCAACTGTCACTCACAACATCCCGACGAGTCGAATCCGTTTCGCGGCAAAATGAAGACGTGTTTGCAGTCGACAAGGAATATCAGCTTTACATACCGCAACTATCGCCTGTCAGTCGTCAACGACGTCAAAGACTCCATCAAGTGGTATAACAGCTGCTACGGTGTACATGAAGCTCTCAATAGTCAGCAATCAAGACAGCAGTAAAAGGGAATGCGCCGTCCGGGAATCGAACCCGGGGCATCTCGTTGGCAACGAGATATTTTACCACTAAACCAACGGCGCCTGCTCACGTCATTCTACCCCCTCTGTCAAAAATCAACACAAACAAACAACAGCCTCCTCACGGCATACATCGTACCGGCAACTGTCACTCACAACATCCCGACGAGTCGAATCCGTTTTGCGGCAAAATGAAGACGTGTTTGCAGTCGACAAGGAATATCAGCTTTACATACCGCAGCTATCGCCTGTCAGTCGTCAACGACGTCTAAAGACTCCATCAAGTGGTATAACAGCTGCTACGGTGTACATGAAGCTCTCTATAGTCAGCAATCAAGACAGCAGTAAAAGGAGAATGCGCCGTCCAGGAATCGAACCCGGGGCATCTCGTTGGCAACGAGATATTTTACCACTAAACCAACGGCGCCTGCTCACGTCATTCTACCCCCTCTGTCAAAAATCAACACAAACAAACAACAGCCTCCTCACGGCATGCATCGTACCGGCAACTGTCACTCACAACATCCCGACGAGTCGAATCCGTTTTGCGGCAAAATGAAGACGTGTTTGCAGTCGACAAGGAATATCAGCTTTACATACCGCAGCTATCGCCTGTCAGTCGTCAACGACGTCTAAAGACTCCATCAAGTGGTATAACAGCTGCTACGGTGTACATGAAGCTCTCAATAGTCAGCAATCAAGACAGCAGTAAAAGAGAATGCGCCGTCCGGGAATCGAACCCGGGGCATCTCGTTGGCAACGAGATATTTTACCACTAAACCAACGGCGCCTGCTCACGTCATTCTACCCCCTCTGTCAAAAATCAACACAAACAAACAACAGCCTCCTCACGGCATACATCGTACCGGCAACTGTCACTCACAACATCCCGACGAGTCGAATCCGTTTCGCGGCAAAATGAAGACGTGTTTGCAGTCGACAAGGAATAGCAGCTTTACATACCGCAGCTATCGCCTGTCAGTCGTCAACGACGTCTAAAGACTCCATCAAGTGGTATAACAGCTGCTGCGGTGTACATGAAGCTCTCAATAGTCAGCAATCAAGACAGCAGTAAAAGGGAATGCGCCGTCCGGGAATCGAACCCGGGGCATCTCGTTGGCAACGAGATATTTTACCACTAAACCAACGGCGCCTGCTCACGTCATTCTACCCCCTCTGTCAAAAATCAACACAAACAAACAACAGCCTCCTCACGGCATGCATCGTACCGGCAACTGTCACTCACAACATCCCGACGAGTCGAATCCGTTTCGCGGCAAAATGAAGACGTGTTTGCAGTCGACAAGGAATAGCAGCTTTACATACCGCAGCTATCGCCTGTCAGTCGTCAACGACGTCTAAAGACTCCATCAAGTGGTATAACAGCTGCTACGGTGTACACAAAGCTCTCTGTAGTCAGCAATCAAGACAGCAGTAAAAGGGAATGCGCCGTCCGGGAATCGAACCCGGGGCATCTCGTTGGCAACGAGATATTTTACCACTAAACCAACGGCGCCTGCTCACGTCATTCTACCCCCTCTGTCAAAAATCAACACAAACAAACAACAGCCTCCTCACGGCATACATCGTACCGGCAACTGTCACTCACAACATCCCGACGAGTCGAATCCGTTTCGCGGCAAAATGAAGACGTGTTTGCAGTCGACAAGGAATAGCAGCTTTACATACCGCAGCTATCGCCTGTCAGTCGTCAACGACGTCTAAAGACTCCATCAAGTGGTATAACAGCTGCTGCGGTGTACATGAAGCTCTCAATAGTCAGCAATCAAGACAGCAGTAAAAGGGAATGCGCCGTCCGGGAATCGAACCCGGGGCATCTCGTTGGCAACGAGATATTTTACCACTAAACCAACGGCGCCTGCTCACGTCATTCTACCCCCTCTGTCAAAAATCAACACAAACAAACAACAGCCTCCTCACGGCATGCATCGTACCGGCAACTGTCACTCACAACATCCCGACGAGTCGAATCCGTTTCGCGGCAAAATGAAGACGTGTTTGCAGTCGACAAGGAATAGCAGCTTTACATACCGCAGCTATCGCCTGTCAGTCGTCAACGACGTCTAAAGACTCCATCAAGTGGTATAACAGCTGCTACGGTGTACACAAAGCTCTCTGTAGTCAGCAATCAAGACAGCAGTAAAAGGGAATGCGCCGTCCGGGAATCGAACCCGGGGCATCTCGTTGGCAACGAGATATTTTACCACTAAACCAACGGCGCCTGCTCACGTCATTCTACCCCCTCTGTCAAAAATCAACACAAACAAACAACAGCCTCCTCACGGCATACATCGTACCGGCAACTGTCACTCACAACATCCCGACGAGTCGAATCTGTTTCGCGGCAAAATGACGGCGTGTTTGCAGTCGACAAGGAATATCAGCTTTACATAGCGCAGCTATCGCCTGTCAGTCGTCAACGACGTCTAAAGACTCCATCAAGTGGTATAACAGCTGCTGCGGTGTACATGAAGCTCTCAATAGTCAGCAATCAAGACAGCAGTAAAAGGGAATGCGCCGTCCGGGAATCGAACCCGGGGCATCTCGTTGGCAACGAGATATTTTACCACTAAACCAACGGCGCCTGCTCACGTCATTCTACCCCCTCTGTCAAAAATCAACACAAACAAACAACAGCCTCCTCACGGCATACATCGTACCGGCAACTGTCACTCACAACATCCCGACGAGTCGAATCCGTTTTGCGGCAAAATGAAGACGTGTTTGCAGTCGACAAGGAATATCAGCTTTACATAGCGCAGCTATCGCCTGTCAGTCGTCAACGACGTCAAAGACTCCATCAAGTGGTATAACAGCTGCTACGGTGTACACAAAGCTCTCTGTAGTCAGCAATCAAGACAGCAGTAAAAGGGAATGCGCCGTCCGGGAATCGAACCCGGGGCATCTCGTTGGCAACGAGATATTTTACCACTAAACCAACGGCGCCTGCTCACGTCATTCTACCCCCTCTGTCAAAAATCAACACAAACAAACAACAGCCTCCTCACGGCATACATCGTACCGGCAACTGTCACTCACAACATCCCGACGAGTCGAATCCGTTTTGCGGCAAAATGAAGACGTGTTTGCAGTCGACAAGGAATATCAGCTTTACATAGCGCAGCTATCGCCTGTCAGTCGTCAACGACGTCTAAAGACTCCATCAAGTGGTATAACAGCTGCTGCGGTGTACATGAAGCTCTCAATAGTCAGCAATCAAGACAGCAGTAAAAGGGAATGCGCCGTCCGGGAATCGAACCCGGGGCATCTCGTTGGCAACGAGATATTTTACCACTAAACCAACGGCGCCTGCTCACGTCATTCTACCCCCTCTGTCAAAAGTCAACACAAACAAACAACAGCCTCCTCACGGCATGCATCGTACCGGCAACTGTCACTCACAACATCCCGACGAGTCGAATCCGTTTCGCGGCAAAATGAAGACGTGTTTGCAGTCGACAAGGAATATCAGCTTTACATAGCGCAGCTATCGCCTGTCAGTCGTCAACGACGTCTAAAGACTCCATCAAGTGGTATAACAGCTGCTACGGTGTACATGAAGCTCTCAATAGTCAGCAATCAAGACAGCAGTAAAAGGGAATGCGCCGTCCGGGAATCGAACCCGGGGCATCTCGTTGGCAACGAGATATTTTACCACTAAACCAACGGCGCCTGCTCACGTCATTCTACCCCCTCTGTCAAAAATCAACACAAACAAACAACAGCCTCCTCACGGCATACATCGTACCGGCAACTGTCACTCACAACATCCCGACGAGTCGAATCCGTTTCGCGGCAAAATGAAGACGTGTTTGCAGTCGACAAGGAATATCAGCTTTACATAGCGCAGCTATCGCCTGTCAGTCGTCAACGACGTCAAAGACTCCATCAAGTGGTATAACAGCTGCTACGGTGTACATGAAGCTCTCAATAGTCAGCAATCAAGACAGCAGTAAAAGGGAATGCGCCGTCCGGGAATCGAACCCGGGGCATCTCGTTGGCAACGAGATATTTTACCACTAAACCAACGGCGCCTGCTCACGTCATTCTACCCCCTCTGTCAAAAATCAACACAAACAAACAACAGCCTCCTCACGGCATACATCGTACCGGCAACTGTCACTCACAACATCCCGACGAGTCGAATCCGTTTCGCGGCAAAATGAAGACGTGTTTGCAGTCGACAAGGAATATCAGCTTTACATAGCGCAGCTATCGCCTGTCAGTCGTCAACGACGTCAAAGACTCCATCAAGTGGTATAACAGCTGCTACGGTGTACATGAAGCTCTCAATAGTCAGCAATCAAGACAGCAGTAAAAGGGAATGCGCCGTCCGGGAATCGAACCCGGGGCATCTCGTTGGCAACGAGATATTTTACCACTAAACCAACGGCGCCTGCTCACGTCATTCTACCCCCTCTGTCAAAAATCAACACAAACAAACAACAGCCTCCTCACGGCATACATCGTACCGGCAACTGTCACTCACAACATCCCGACGAGTCGAATCCGTTTCGCGGCAAAATGACGGCGTGTTTGCAGTCGACAAGGAATATCAGCTTTACATAGCGCAGCTATCGCCTGTCAGTCGTCAACGACGTCTAAAGACTCCATCAAGTGGTATAACAGCTGCTGCGGTGTACATGAAGCTTTCAATAGTCAGCAATCAGGACAGCAGTAAAAGGGAATGCGCCGTCCGGGAATCGAACCCGGGGCATCTCGTTGGGAACGAGATATTTTACCACTAAACCAACGGCGCCTGCTCACGTCATTCTACCCCCTCTGTCAAAAATCAACACAAACAAACAACAGCCTCCTCACGGCATGCATCGTACCGGCAACTGTCACTCACAACATCCCGACGAGTCGAATCCGTTTTGCGGCAAAATGAAGACGTGTTTGCAGTCGACAAGGAATATCAGCTTTACATAGCGCAGCTATCGCCTGTCAGTCGTCAACGACGTCAAAGACTCCATCAAGTGGTATAACAGCTGCTACGGTGTACATGAAGCTCTCAATAGTCAGCAATCAAGACAGCAGTAAAAGGGAATGCGCCGTCCGGGAATCGAACCCGGGGCATCTCGTTGGCAACGAGATATTTTACCACTAAACCAACGGCGCCTGCTCACGTCATTCTACCCCCTCTGTCAAAAATCAACACAAACAAACAACAGCCTCCTCACGGCATACATCGTACCGGCAACTGTCACTCACAACATCCCGACGAGTCGAATCCGTTTTGTGGCAAAATGAAGACGTGTTTGCAGTCGACAAGGAATATCAGCTTTACATAGCGCAGCTATCGCCTGTCAGTCGTCAACGACGTCTAAAGACTCCATCAAGTGGTATAACAGCTGCTACGGTGTACATGAAGCTCTCTGTAGTCAGCAATCAAGACAGCAGTAATTGGGAATGCGCCGTCCGGGAATCGAACCCGGGGCATCTCGTTGGCAACGAGATATTTTACCACTAAACCAACGGCGCCTGCTCACGTCATTCTACCCCCTCTGTCAAAAATCAACACAAACAAACAACAGCCTCCTCACGGCATACATCGTACCGGCAACTGTCACTCACAACATCCCGACGAGTCGAATCCGTTTCGCGGCAAAATGAAGACGTGTTTGCAGTCGACAAGGAATATCAGCTTTACATAGCGCAGCTATCGCCTGTCAGTCGTCAACGACGTCTAAAGACTCCATCAAGTGGTATAACAGATGCTGCGGTGTACATGAAGCTCTCAATAGTCAGCAATCAGGACAGCAGTAAAAGGGAATGCGCCGTCCGGGAATCGAACCCGGGGCATCTCGTTGGCAACGAGATATTTTACCACTAAACCAACGGCGCCTGCTCACGTCATTCTACCCCCTCTGTCAAAAATCAACACAAACAAACAACAGCCTCCTCACGGCATACATCGTACCGGCAACTGTCACTCACAACATCCCGACGAGTCGAATCCGTTTTGCGGCAAAATGAAGACGTGTTTGCAGTCGACAAGGAATATCAGCTTTACATAGCGCAGCTATCGCCTGTCAGTCGTCAACGACGTCAAAGACTCCATCAAGTGGTATAACAGCTGCTACGGTGTACATGAAGCTCTCAATAGTCAGCAATCAAGACAGCAGTAAAAGGGAATGCGCCGTCCGGGAATCGAACCCGGGGCATCTCGTTGGCAACGAGATATTTTACCACTAAACCAACGGCGCCTGCTCACGTCATTCTACCCCCTCTGTCAAAAATCAACACAAACAAACAACAGCCTCCTCACGGCATACATCGTACCGGCAACTGTCACTCACAACATCCCGACGAGTCGAATCCGTTTCGCGGCAAAATGAAGACGTGTTTGCAGTCGACAAGGAATATCAGCTTTACATAGCGCAGCTATCGCCTGTCAGTCGTCAACGACGTCTAAAGACTCCATCAAGTGGTATAACAGCTGCTGCGGTGTACATGAAGCTCTCAATAGTCAGCAATCAAGACAGCAGTAAAAGGGAATGCGCCGTCCGGGAATCGAACCCGGGGCATCTCGTTGGCAACGAGATATTTTACCACTAAACCAACGGCGCCTGCTCACGTCATTCTACCCCCTCTGTCAAAAATCAACACAAACAAACAACAGCCTCCTCACGGCATACATCGTACCGGCAACTGTCACTCACAACATCCCGACGAGTCGAATCCGTTTCGCGGCAAAATGAAGACGTGTTTGCAGTCGACAAGGAATATCAGCTTTACATAGCGCAGCTATCGCCTGTCAGTCGTCAACGACGTCTAAAGACTCCATCAAGTGGTATAACAGCTGCTGCGGTGTACATGAAGCTCTCAATAGTCAGCAATCAAGACAGCAGTAAAAGGGAATGCGCCGTCCGGGAATCGAACCCGGGGCATCTCGTTGGCAACGAGATATTTTACCACTAAACCAACGGCGCCTGCTCACGTCATTCTACCCCCTCTGTCAAAAATCAACACAAACAAACAACAGCCTCCTCACGGCATACATCGTACCGGCAACTGTCACTCACAACATCCCGACGAGTCGAATCCGTTTCGCGGCAAAATGAAGACGTGTTTGCAGTCGACAAGGAATATCAGCTTTACATAGCGCAGCTATCGCCTGTCAGTCGTCAACGACGTCTAAAGACTCCATCAAGTGGTATAACAGCTGCTGCGGTGTACATGAAGCTCTCAATAGTCAGCAATCAAGACAGCAGTAAAAGGGAATGCGCCGTCCGGGAATCGAACCCGGGGCATCTCGTTGGCAACGAGATATTTTACCACTAAACCAACGGCGCCTGCTCACGTCATTCTACCCCCTCTGTCAAAAATCAACACAAACAAACAACAGCCTCCTCACGGCATACATCGTACCGGCAACTGTCACTCACAACATCCCGACGAGTCGAATCCGTTTCGCGGCAAAATGAAGACGTGTTTGCAGTCGACAAGGAATATCAGCTTTACATAGCGCAGCTATCGCCTGTCAGTCGTCAACGACGTCAAAGACTCCATCAAGTGGTATAACAGCTGCTACGGTGTACATGAAGCTCTCAATAGTCAGCAATCAAGACAGCAGTAAAAGGGAATGCGCCGTCCGGGAATCGAACCCGGGGCATCTCGTTGGCAACGAGATATTTTACCACTAAACCAACGGCGCCTGCTCACGTCATTCTACCCCCTCTGTCAAAAATCAACACAAACAAACAACAGCCTCCTCACGGCATACATCGTACCGGCAACTGTCACTCACAACATCCCGACGAGTCGAATCCGTTTCGCGGCAAAATGAAGACGTGTTTGCAGTCGACAAGGAATATCAGCTTTACATAGCGCAGCTATCGCCTGTCAGTCGTCAACGACGTCAAAGACTCCATCAAGTGGTATAACAGCTGCTACGGTGTACATGAAGCTCTCAATAGTCAGCAATCAAGACAGCAGTAAAAGGGAATGCGCCGTCCGGGAATCGAACCCGGGGCATCTCGTTGGCAACGAGATATTTTACCACTAAACCAACGGCGCCTGCTCACGTCATTCTACCCCCTCTGTCAAAAATCAACACAAACAAACAACAGCCTCCTCACGGCATACATCGTACCGGCAACTGTCACTCACAACATCCCGACGAGTCGAATCCGTTTCGCGGCAAAATGAAGACGTGTTTGCAGTCGACAAGGAATATCAGCTTTACATAGCGCAGCTATCGCCTGTCAGTCGTCAACGACGTCTAAAGACTCCATCAAGTGGTATAACAGCTGCTGCGGTGTACATGAAGCTCTCAATAGTCAGCAATCAAGACAGCAGTAAAAGGGAATGCGCCGTCCGGGAATCGAACCCGGGGCATCTCGTTGGCAACGAGATATTTTACCACTAAACCAACGGCGCCTGCTCACGTCATTCTACCCCCTCTGTCAAAAATCAACACAAACAAACAACAGCCTCCTCACGGCATACATCGTACCGGCAACTGTCACTCACAACATCCCGACGAGTCGAATCCGTTTTGCGGCAAAATGAAGACGTGTTTGCAGTCGACAAGGAATATCAGCTTTACATAGCGCAGCTATCGCCTGTCAGTCGTCAACGACGTCAAAGACTCCATCAAGTGGTATAACAGCTGCTACGGTGTACATGAAGCTCTCAATAGTCAGCAATCAAGACAGCAGTAAAAGGGAATGCGCCGTCCGGGAATCGAACCCGGGGCATCTCGTTGGCAACGAGATATTTTACCACTAAACCAACGGCGCCTGCTCACGTCATTCTACCCCCTCTGTCAAAAATCAACACAAACAAACAACAGCCTCCTCACGGCATACATCGTACCGGCAACTGTCACTCACAACATCCCGACGAGTCGAATCCGTTTCGCGGCAAAATGAAGACGTGTTTGCAGTCGACAAGGAATATCAGCTTTACATAGCGCAGCTATCGCCTGTCAGTCGTCAACGACGTCTAAAGACTCCATCAAGTGGTATAACAGCTGCTGCGGTGTACATGAAGCTCTCAATAGTCAGCAATCAAGACAGCAGTAAAAGAGAATGCGCCGTCCGGGAATCGAACCCGGGGCATCTCGTTGGCAACGAGATATTTTACCACTAAACCAACGGCGCCTGCTCACGTCATTCTACCCCCTCTGTCAAAAATCAACACAAACAAACAACAGCCTCCTCACGGCATACATCGTACCGGCAACTGTCACTCACAACATCCCGACGAGTCGAATCCGTTTCGCGGCAAAATGAAGACGTGTTTGCAGTCGACAAGGAATATCAGCTTTACATAGCGCAGCTATCGCCTGTCAGTCGTCAACGACGTCTAAAGACTCCATCAAGTGGTATAACAGCTGCTACGGTGTACATGAAGCTCTCAATAGTCAGCAATCAAGACAGCAGTAAAAGGGAATGCGCCGTCCGGGAATCGAACCCGGGGCATCTCGTTGGCAACGAGATATTTTACCACTAAACCAACGGCGCCTGCTCACGTCATTCTACCCCCTCTGTCAAAAATCAACACAAACAAACAACAGCCTCCTCACGGCATGCATCGTACCGGCAACTGTCACTCACAACATCCCGACGAGTCGAATCCGTTTTGTGGCAAAATGAAGACGTGTTTGCAGTCGACAAGGAATAGCAGCTTTACATACCGCAGCTATCGCCTGTCAGTCGTCAACGACGTCTAAAGACTCCATCAAGTGGTATAACAGCTGCTGCGGTGTACATGAAGCTCTCAATAGTCAGCAATCAGGACAGCAGTAAAAGGGAATGCGCCGTCCGGGAATCGAACCCGGGGCATCTCGTTGGCAACGAGATATTTTACCACTAAACCAACGGCGCCTGCTCACATCATTCTGCCCCTCTGTCAAAAGTCAACACAAACAAACAACAGCCTCCTCACGGCATACATCGTACCGGCAACTGTCACTCACAACATCCCGACGAGTCGAATCCGTTTCGCGGCAAAATGAAGACGTGTTTGCAGTCGACAAGGAATAGCAGCTTAACATACCGCAGCTATCGCCTGTCAGTCGTCAACGACGTCTAAAGACTCCATCAAGTGGTATAACAGCTGCTACGGTGTACATGAAGCTCTCAATAGTCAGCAATCAAGACAGCAGTAAAAAGGGAATGCGCCGTCCGGGAATCGAACCCGGGGCATCTCGTTGGCAACGAGATATTTTACCACTAAACCAACGGCGCCTGCTCACGTCATTCTACCCCCTCTGTCAAAAAAACAACACAAACAAACAACAGCCTCCTCAGGCATACATCCGTTTCGCGGTACCGGCAACTGTCACTCACCGTTGTTTGCAACATCCCGACGAGTCGTGTTTGCAATAGCAGC